GCACAGAGCATGTGAGATACAAATTCCATATTTTAAATTCTTTGCGACTCTACAAAATCCCTACATTCCATCATCTGAAACAAGTATAACTTATGCCTGACCGTATGCTCTGACACGTAAGCGACTACTTTGTCCAGATCCATCTCAGCTGCGCTGGGTAGAGCAGCAAGATTGCCAGTAGAGGGGTAGTTAGAGTATCGGTCATCTTCAAATGGAAAAGCCAAATCCGGAACAGAGTGAACCGTGGATTGAAGGAGTGTGTTCTCGCCTATTTGCTGGTTGATCCACTACGTTGGTTGGCGTTTGAAAGATGCTAATCAGAAGTGATGAGTGAGGAAGCTCAAAAATAGGTTTTAGAAAAATTGATGTTATAGCCACGTAAGGCAGCGTGTAAATGGGCTGACCAAATGCTCAGGTAGGATAATGTGGGTGCTACTTCGCAAAACATCTTCACGCCTTTACCATTTTTCTTGAATTTTTATAGCAATAAATGTAAAGTGATTCACTAATTATGGGACAACCTAATAAAAATGCGCTATGGAGCCGAGTCGATACGCAAAAAGATGTTACGATGAGCTAGGAACCATTATGTCCTTTAACTCAAGGCGGGAACAAGTCGTCTCAATCGGTTTCACTCTCGGAGGGCAAGAATCTTCTGAGAAGCTATTTGCCGCATTTTCAGCGTGTCAAGAGGAAGAGCGAATTGGCTCATCACTTGATAGAATTAGTTCTAATACGTATTAATATTAGGAGTCTGAGCAGAATCTGTCAAAGAGAGTACGAGACTTCCGGCAGTGTAACAGGCCTGTGGTGCAGCTTAAAGACTCTATGAACCGTGTCGCTCTGTGCTTTGAAATGAGTGTGTTGGCTTAGTGAAGTGGGTTTTTTTTTTTTTATTTTTTTTTTTTTTTTTTTTTTTTTTTTTTTTTTTTTTTTTTTTTTTTTTTTTTTTTTTTTTTTTTTTTTATTTGTTGAGGAAATTCAATGTGCGTCAGCCACTTTCATTTCCCGGAGCTCGTGATCCTCTTAGGCTTACTCCTGAAAGATGCGCCCGTATATTGCGATAGCGCCCGCGTTTCTCTGTATCCTATCAAAAGAAACGAACCGAGTCATCACCTACTGCTCGCTTCTGCAAGCTGATAAGAAAGATGGATGGAATGATCGGTGTGAATTATCTCTTTTGAAATGCGCCAGGGTTCCTACTTTTATTCAGAATAAATGACACTTTATGTGCAGTGTGCTTCACATATGTAGTATTCTGCAAAAACCAGTGAATTCCTTACTCGGAGTTCTCGTTCTACACGATTATTCGTAAAGAGATTACTGAGGGACCAATACGGCTACAGCGTGCCCAAGCGAACTTTGTTCCGATCGCCCTTGACCAGGAAATCATCAATCAACTTGGTGTGATTTTCGCGTTCAGTTCCGCTTCGTTTATGTGTCAGATCTTCTTTTTCGACTCCCCATGCGAAATTGGTCATTACAACTCGGTGAATGGTTCAAAGTTCTCAAACGCTAATGACGTTACAACCACGCCCTGGCAGGAGAACACTCGCGCGCTGCAAATGACCCAGGGTAAAGAATGCTGACACAGCTGCCAGGCGCATAAAAATTACTGCGCACAGATAACGAAAACTCTGCATTTCGTTGCTTCACAAATTCATCTCCATTTGCTTGAAGAGGCTAACATCATAGTGGGTCCAGGAATTTCGCAACCTATGATGAGCCAAAAAATCCCGTAATGGACGAAGTGAGGTCGAAATGCGTGTAAAATTTCCGATAATTCTGGAGGGTCTTAAATTCTCTTCGATCTCATATGTACTTCCGACATTTTCAATGCTTCTTATAACTATGATTTGACTGGTCGGCTGATACATTTTGAAAGACTGGTAGCCTTCGGGAATAATCAGCTCAGGCACACAATCGGGAAAAGTGGCATCAGCATAACAGAGTCGACCCCTTGTCGGCGGGTTTTTGCAGAACACTATGCAAAGCACGCTGCACACAAGGTGTCATTTGTTCTGAATAAAAGTAGAAATCCTGGCGCATTTCAGTGAAATTGATTAATACCGATCATTACATCCATCTGCCTTATCAGCCCGCAGAAGCGAGCAGTAGATAATGACTTCGTTCGTTTCTTTTGATAGGATATAGGGTCGACTCTGTTATGCTGTAAGACAAGCGCTGAAGAATATGAAGAAGAAGACTTGGAAATGATCCAGAACGACGGACGGAATGATCTCTATTTTTTCTAGTTAGAACCCTATTTCCTTTTCGTGTCAGTTCAACGTACGAAGCTTGGTTCGAGCTCAGTGACTGCGCAGTTCATTATAGACCTGAGTGCAAATTTTGACTACGGCCGTTACGAGGCTGTGGATCACTGTTTATTTAGGTTAATAAGTATTCTGGAAAATTCGAATAACGGCTCCACAAGGGCGGAAGAAGTGTAGCAGCAAGTGGCACGCTTACCACGCGAGCGGTCCGGGGATCAAATCCTGGGTCGTGAGTCGCCCGGGCCAACCAAGCCTTCCATCCCTCCGGGGTCGGTTAATTGGTACCAGACTTGTCTGGGAGGATAAAAACACTGACTTGTACATCGGCTGGCCCCCGCAAGTCATTGTATAGGCCACATCGCATTCAAACGCCACTACGAATGTACAAATGGAAGTAGAATGCGTGCCGCATCCCAAAAAGGGATTGATCAACGGCAAATGCTTTATCCTTTTACCCGCTCCAACTCGTATATTACTGTCCAAATGCTTTGCCATATTTATATTAGTTTTTCTTCTGTTTTCTCCAACTCTCACCTCAAAGCGTGGAGCTTGATTCGAGCTCACGCGACTGCTCAATTCCACAGTAGCTCAAGTAATCTATAGCAGCGGAAGAGCATGGTGAGTGTTGGGAGAACTCGATTCAGAGATCGTTACCGACACCCGCTTTCTTGCGCAATCCGAAGCCGGTCGCTCCGTACGCCTTTGATACTGAAGTTTGGACCGTAGAACCATCTGGCATGCGAACATGCTGGCTACACTACACAAGGTGTGTTGTGCGAAGCGGTCTGCCGATATGGCGCAAAAACTACTTTGCTCTCTCCACTGATAGCGCCGTTCGACTGTATAAAAGAAGTTGTTCCATCTCGCTACGGTGTCCTGCAGGAAGATAGCTTACCGTAGTCCTTTGTCTTCGTATTCCTGCTTTTTCACGTGATATACTCCTAGCGTGGGGCATATCTTGCCTTTTTATTCATGTTCCTCCGTCTATTTATTCCAGATTAGTTGAGTTTTGTAATACGAAATATACAGATCCTCTGCTTTCGCTCAGTAATTAGGTGTAGTAAGCAGGCGGGTGGTGTAGTAGCAGTTGACGCCACTTACCGCACGCACGGTTCGAGGATCAAGTCTCGAATCTCGCCCAGGTTGACCAGGCCTTCCACTACCCCATGACGGTTATTTGGTATAAACTTGTCTGAGAGAAGAACACGCTTTTTTTTACATCGGTTGACAAACAGTTCATTGTGTAATCCCATTACCACTGGATGGCTCCGCGATCAGCACTGAAGTAGCGTGCATGGCACATTCCAAAAAGTGATCAACGCGGAAGCTTTAAGGTTTCCATATGTTGCGCATTATTCGTTCTGGTAATAGGCATAATGCTTTGTTTTCTTTTTAAGCATTCGCATGACAACAGGCTGTTCCTCTTAATAGCGTTCCAAAGCTCTCAAACAGAAACAAATCAGACCACAACTAATCACAGCCCTCCCACTGTGCGCTTCGATGTGTAGCAAAAGGCTCACGGCAAATAATTTTTGTAAATACAAAAGTAACAAATCATGGAAAATGAGGCCAAGCTGAGCCAAAAAATGGGAGAGGGGTTCAAGTCCGTGTAACAAAATGGATCTACCGTTCTTCTCGGAACAATGTGGCGGAATGGCCTTTTTTTTTGCAAATTCTAGGCCGAGAAAAAAGAGTTATCTCAACTGCCCACAATCGTTTTCAGGATTAGCAGTTGAGGTAAAAAGAAAATCAGAATAGAGAATAATTCAGTTCAGTTGAGGTGACTCAAACTGTGCCATATAATTTTAATCTTTGGTGCTTCTTCCTATTACGACCTTCTTGTCGTCTTCGAAGCCCAACATGTCACGCTTGTGTCCCATTGTTTCCCTTCTAACATTCGCTCGTCAGACTTCGAAAAGTGAAATTGGACACTTATGTAATTCTTTTCGAGGGCCCTAAACAGGAAGATCGGAGATGATAGAAATCCGTTTCAATCAAAGTACAGAAGCCGGTACATCTCCATCGAGCCCCGACAAAAACTTGCACAAAATTCGGGAAAAGTCATGCGCATGGAGTTGTTTACCTCATTCTGCCCCTGAAACCTTCCTCATGGCCAACAGTGCAACACGAGACCATCTATTACGGTCTCGCGATTTGCACATGGACTTACGCACACGTCACAACGCTCTCGTGAGTAGGCGTAACCAGTGGTGCGATCACGCCATGTCGTCTAGCAGGCCATCGCCTCAAACTAATGACCGGTGGACATCTTCCAACGCTGTGCACCGCTCTGCTTTCTTTGCTGAATTGCCGAATATGGCCACGCTTTGGACAAGGAAATCAACGTACCACAATGTGATAGTATATTGACCTCAGGCCTTGACCTTTAAATAGTCAATTAATTTGTTTTTGACCTACTGGTTCACCTTTGCGACCCTAGAACTTCGAACTTTAATCTGTTGGTCTATCAACTCCTGGAGAGTTGGAAAACCAACAGATTAAACTTCGAAGAGAGCGCGTGAGGCTGTCTGTTGGTGAACTTGCCCTAGAGCGCTCACTCTTGAAAAGCTTCGCATTTTGGCGCTGGACAGAAAGCTTTACTATTCATTGATGACAATTCGTATGCTTTTTTCGCACTTTTTTTTATTCTATCTCAACTAGAAATCCTTCTTTTCGGGAGCTCTCTGGGTTCCGACTCTCTCTATCTCATCGTATTTCCAGGTAAAAATGACAATCCCAACGAGAACGAACATTGCTAAGAATCCAATTGTGGAAAAGGTGATCGCCGAGCAATTTCTTGCAGCCGATCTTGCCGAAGTCGACCACTTACGAGAAGAGGGGAAGAAGGTGGGCTACCTCTTTGCTTTGTCAGTTTAGTCCTTTCCGTACCTTATTTTCAAGATTATTTTTCAGTACAACTACAAGAGGAAGTTGGTATATCGAAATGTTGCTTTGTTTGCTGCTCTCCATGTTGGAAGTCTCATCGGTCTTTATCAGGTTGCGTTCGATGCGAAATGGCAGACGGTGGCATGGAGTAAGTGTTCCATATTATGCCCCATATTTTAACTTAAACTGTATAAAAAAAGCGAAAAACTCATCAGCAAGTTCGGCTGCTTTACGTTAATTGAATCAAGAAATTGAACTTTGCATCAATAACGTTCAAGAGAAGGTCTGGGAAAGTTTTGACGTATTGTGCTTGTTAATCGCTGTTGTAACGCCGCAGTTCGCGTTGTGAAAGATTCATGAGAATACTGGTTTATGGGCAAAACATATCGCTCTGGGCGGGGATCGAACCTGCACCTCTTGCAGTTCTGCTGCTGATTGCACCACCAGGCATTCTTACGAAACCCACGGAAAAGTGCTCATCCTCATTTTTAAAATACTTCTCGGAACCTGAAGCTACTTAGGGCTTCCGCAGCGATTATTTTATAATTTTACG